AGCAAAAATGATCCAGCAATGGCCGCAGCTGGCTTCACTGCACAGGTGGTCATCCTGAGCCCTCCAGGCCAAATCCGTGCTGGATATGCACCTGTGCAGGACTGTCCCACAGCTCACATTGCTTGCAAGTTTGCTGAGCTCAAGGAGAAGATTGATCGCTGGTCTGGTAAGAAGCTAGAAGATGGCCCCAAATTCTTGAAGTCTGGTGGTGCTGCCATTGTTGACACGGTTTTCGACAAGCCTGTGTGTGTTGAGAGCTTCTCAGCCTACCCTCCTCTGGGACATTTTGCTGTTCGCGACATGAGACAGAATGTGGCTGTGGGTGTCTTCAAGGCAGTGGACCAAAAGGCTGCTGGAGCTGGCAAAGTCACCAAGTCTGCTCAGAGGCTCAATGACTATGACCTTTAATACCTGCCCCTCCAGTCTTAATCAGTGGTGGTGGAAAGCCAGTCTCAGAAAGCTTTGTCTCAATTGGCCATTGAAGTTTAATAGTAAAAGACTGGTTATTGATAACATGCATCGTTAAACCTTCAGAAGGAAAGGAATATTATGCAAACCATTTGTATTTGTGTGTGTGGCAGTTTTAAGTTATTAGTTTTTAAAATCAGTACTTTTTAAATGGCAACAACTTGACCAAAAATTTGTCACAAAATTTTGAGACCCATTAAAACAAAGTTTAATGAGAAAAATAAGGAGAAGATGGAAGGAATAGTCACTGTATCAAAAATAAATGGTTGTTGTTCAACCATTTGAAAAGGTAGCATATGATCAAGAGCCAATGATACTGAAGGGACACTGAAGGCACTGGCAAAGAACAAGGCACTGGGAATTGATGGAATACAAATTGAAATATTTCAACAAACTGATGCAGCACTGGAGGCACTCATTCATCTATGCCAAGAAATTTGGAGGATAGCTACCTTGCCAATTGATTAGAAGAGATCCATATTTGTGCCCATGCCAAAAAGAGGCGACCTAGTGGAATGCAGAGATCATCGGACAATATCATTAATATTACATGCAAATAAAATTTTGCTAAAGATAATTCAGAAACAGCTGTAGTAGTACATTGACAGGGAGCTGCCAGAGGCTCAGACCAGACTCAGATAGGGACGTGGAACGAGGGATGTCATTGCTCATGTCAGATGGACCTGAGCTGAAAGCAGAGAATACCAGAAAGATGTTTACCTATGCTTTATTGAGTATGCAAAGGCTTTTCCACTGTGTGGATCATAACAAACTATGGACAACATTGTGGAGAATGAGTATTCCGGAACACTTGATTGTACTCATGAGGAACCTGTACATAGACCAAGAGGCAGTCATTTGAACAGAATAAGGGGACACTGAATGGTTCAAAATCAGGAAATGTGTGTGGCAGGGTTGTATTCTTTGACCATACTTATTCAATCTGTAAACTGAGCACATAATCCAAGAAGCTGGATTATATGAAGAAGAAGATGGCATTGGGATTGGAGGAAGACTCATTAATAACCTGTGATATGCAGATAATTCAGCCTTGCTTGCTGAACATGAAAAGGACTTAAAATACTGATGAAGATCAGAAACCACACCCTTCAGTATGACTTGCACCTCAATGTAAAGAAAACAATAATCCTCACCACTGGACCAATGAAAAACATCCATATAAATGAAGAACTGATTGAAGTTGTCAAAGATTTCATTTTGCTCGGATCAGTCATCAACATTCGTGGAAGCAGCAGTCAAGAAATCAAATAATGTATTGCACTGGCAAACTGCTGCACAAAACCTCTTAAAGTGTTAAAGAGCAAAGATGTCACTTTAAGGATTAAGGTGCGCCTGACCCAAACCATGGTATTTCCAAAAGCCTCATACGCATGTGCTAGTTGGACAATGAATAAGGAAGACTAGAGGAATTGATGCATTTGAGTTATGGTGTTGGAGAAGAATATTAAAAGTATAATGGATTGCCTGTCAGGGTCCGGCCTCGACAAGGGAGTGAGTACACGAAGGTGAGGTGTCTGGCGATGAGAGAGAGAGAGAGAGAGAGAAACAGACACAAAGAAGACAGACTCACAGGTTTGATGCAAGCTGCCAGACAGACTGTTCGGTGGCAGACATTGCACTCAAAACTAACTCTAGGTGGGATGTCTGGAGGGGCGAGAGAGAAAGAAACACTGGAGACTAGAGTGGATACAAGCTGACAGGCAGATAGTCCTGCTGCCAAGAATGCACCCAGAACTATCTCTACCCCAGTCTTTTATTAACTTTGTTAAGGAAGAGATCTTTACAGAAGAAGAATGGGATTATTCAGATAAGATAATGCTTAATGATTCACAGAGACAATCTTTAAGATATTTTCTAGGTACAATACAATTTTCTTAGCAATCTAACATTTTATTTCTACAGGAAAAGGTTCAAGCAAGCTATTATAGATTAACCTTTAGGCCTAAAGGACGTCTAACATACTTTTAACATTTAGTCACTAGTGGGTAAAGGTGAAAGACTTATAAACTCATATAAAGGTTGGTTTATAATCTCTGAAGGGATTTAAGCTGTTTTTCTCTACTTCGCAAGTAAAAAATATATGTGTTTGAACAGGATTTCAAATATTTAGCTTTATTTGTTAAACTAGTAATTCTTTCTTGCTACAGTTCCAGGGAAGGTGAGAGAAGGGTCACAACCTTTCCAAGAAGGCGAGGTCTCACCTTCTCATTCCTTATCCTCTATCCAGATTCCACACCCAAATGCTACAATGTTCACTATCACCACATTTCCATATACCTTCAGGGGGAAGAAGAGCATCTGGATCAAACTGATTAAACCCAGGGTGGTCTGAGGGAGTTGCCACCATTGTCTCTTAATCCAATATTCCCAGAATTTACCACTCCACCTCAAGTGAATACCCCGGGCAGTTCCTCTCCAGAACCTCCCTGCTTAATCCCAGTAAACCTGTCCTTGTTTGTCCTCTGAGGAAGTTTTACTACCTCGGTTCTAAGGGGAAATTTGATTTTATTAATGTCCATGGATATCAAGAGCTCATGTTCTAAGTTAATATTAAACATAACTGAATAATCAAATAAGGAGCAGTTCTGACACTCATCCCAGGTGGCTATCGCTTGTACCTCAGAAAGATTCGTTCCCAGGACCCTACGCACTTCCAACACAGTGGACATTAAGAGAGGCATTATAAAAACCATTTTCTCAGAAGCTACAATTACTGGAGTTGGAAGCATAGAATGAACATACAGAGTTAGCCCAACAGTGAGTTCGTAAAAGCCAATGAACCCAGGACGTCCGGAGGTTACTTCCTTGAGCCCTCAGGGTCCCTGGCTAGCAAGCCTGAGAGCGGCCATCGTGTTGGACTTTTGTCCATGACACTGGTCCTCAGCTTCTCAGTACTTGCGGTCTCCTACAATTGCCAAAAGGAAAAAAAAAAATCTGTGTTAGAAGTGCAGCCAGACTACTTCTTAGAAGCCAGGATGGACAGACTCTGTCTCTCATACTTCAGACATATTATGAGGAGGGACCAGTCCCTGGAGAAGGACATCATGCTAGGTAAAGTGGAGGGTCGGTGAAAAAGAGGAAGACCCCCAGTGAGATGGATTGATACAGTGGCAGGAGCAATGGGCTCAAGTGTAGCACGAATGTGAGATTGCTGCAGAACAAGTTAATGTTTTGTTCGGTTGTGCATAAAGTCACTATGAATTGGGATTGACTCAATGATGGCACCTAATAGCAACCAAGTAGCATACATGTGTGAGGTCACAGCAGGTCCATGTGGCTGGGCTCGTTCTCAGCATCACTCACAGGCCAAGATCCAGCTGTGTGTGACTCAATTCTCATCTGACATCTCTGAGGAAGAATTCAGTTTCCAAGCTCCCTCTTGGCCATGGTGGAATCCAGTTCCTTGCAGCGGTAGGAGTGAGATGCCATTGGCTGTCTTACTTATTGTGGCTCCTGAGGGCCACTCTCCTTCTCAACAGCAGGGGCCCTTCCTCTCACTTAATCTCCAGAGAGCTTGTCCCCATGTTGAGGCCTACTGTTCACATAACAACATCATTACAAGTGTAAAATGCATGCATTGTGTTGACACTGTACATCTGATCCACCTTAGAACTTAGTAACCCCAGTATACTCCTGATACTCCCTGCTGGGCCCACTCCAGCCCCTGCCCCTTTATGAGTGCCTTCTCACTCTCTGTATATCTGACTTGTATTCTTGGTCCTGTTTGTAGTGGTGGTGCCGTCCCTGTTTGCCTTGGTGGCTCCATCTCTAAAATGGGACCATCTTCATCTAGTTTCAGATCCCCGAAAGCGTGGCAGTTGCTGCAGGAAAAGGGGCTTCTGGCCACCAGTTCCTGAGCCCATGGGTCTCCCCAGCAGAGAAGAGGGCGCCACATGGTCAGCCCCTAACGCACTCCCCAGCGCAGGCACACACTCAGCCCAGACCCAGCACATCGTTAATCTGCAGCTGGGGACTGGCACCACCAGTGTGTCTCTTCTTGCACCCGAGAAAGCGAGGCTACACATAAGAATGAACTATAACCACATCTGCTTGTCTCACTGCGAAGCCCATGACCTGAAGTGGAACCCTGACAATCTCCACACCCAGAGGAGAGCCCCCTCCAGGCGTCTTCCAGATGGGCTCACCCCCCCCAGCCTGTTCTTCTCACGCTTTCCTCTCAGTGCAGAGTGGCACGTGGCATCACCTCCAGTCCCCAAGGCATGGGGGCTTATCTCCACCATTCCCCGGAAAGCAAACTGGGAGTGGGGGTTCTGTAGTGGTGAAGGGGTTGCAGCCGGTGCCCTGTCATCCTTCCCAGGGCCCTCTGCTTGCTGGCCTCCTTCATCTCCTCCTTCCCGACTCCTCCTTCTTCCTCCTCCCCTCCCCCCTTCGTCCCTCTGACGGCCGCAGCCCCTGCCGCGTCGCGTCGCCGCCTCCTCTCCCTCCGTCCCTCCTCCCTCCCGGCACTGCAGCATTTGCCACTGCAGCTCCAGCCGCGCCCGCTCCCGGCCTCCGCAGCCGCCGCCGCCCGCAGCACCATGGCCAGCACCGTGTCCGGTAGGCGCCCAAGGGAGGGTCTGCGCGGGCCGGGCAGCTTCACTTGGTGATGGGCTGCTCACCCGCCCTTTTGCCAGGTCCGGATCCCGGGCACAGCAGAGAAGAGGAGCTCGGGGTCATGGCGGGGGGTCGGGGCACCCACGGCAGGGATAACGGCTCAGTGCGGGCGAGCGGTGGGGGTCGTGCTCCGGGAAACGCCGCGGGGGGTGGAGGGCTCAGAGGCCAGGAGCGCGCCAAGAGGGTGCAGGTAGGGTCCCCTGAGCATCTGAGAATCTCAGACCCTGAGTGGGGACCGCGCCTTTGCCCGACCGCTGCGACCCTGCGCCAAGTGGGAGAGCCGCGAGCTAAGGGCGGGGGTCGCTGCGGGAGGGTGGGGACAGACCGACCGTTTCAAGCCAAGGCCGCGCCCGCACCTAGCGTCGCAGCTTCTTAGCGCAGGCCCCGGGGACCCCCTCAGCGACGCGCGGAAGCCACCGCCCTCTGCGCCTCCCGGTTTTGGGTGGGGGAAGGGTGCGGCTGATTCCAGATCCCCCTGACTGCAGGCTGCCCCGCCCTCGCCCCACCCATCACGCAGTTCTCGCCCCGCCCTGCCGCTGCGGACCCCTGTTCTCGACGTTAGCGGCCCCCCTTCTTAACCCTCACCCCCACCCGTGGGACTTGGGCAAAGGACGACTGGGAAGCCTTCAGGCGACCCGGGCGCAAGGACACAGGATTCGTTTTCTCTGGGGACACAGTGCTTTGTCCTGTCACAGGAGGACCAGCGTTTTCTTTGCGCTCAGGCCCGGGCTGGAGACCCCTCAGGCAGAAACAGCCCTCCTGCCCCTCCCTCTGCGCTGGGGCGGGTCACAGCATCCTACATGGATAACTTCTTTCTGTCGCCCAGGGCCGGGCCGATTGAGGCGCCTGGAGCTCCGCCTATCCACGTGGCCCCGCCCCGCCCGCCAGGGCCTGCCACCTGTCCAGTGGGGCCTGCTGGTCACTGATCCCACCCACCTCGTTTGGCGGTCTTGCCCTTCAGACCTTTATCTGCCCTCACTCGCCCTTTCCATAACCCCCAGAAGCTCCGTGAAGTTCCTGCAGAATTTGACTGCGCTCTGCATCTAGGGGGGCTCTTCCCTTTCCCCTGTGTGGGCCCGTGTGCAGTAGGCAGAGGCCGGTGGGTAGGCGGTGGGTGGGGAGCTTTGCTGCATTACTCACCTTCTTCAGGGGAGCCTTTCTGGGTGGGCATCCATCCTGCCCTCTGCATGTGTCCTTGAGGCAACCCAACCACGCCCACCTTCCATGGCCCTCAGGGACAAAGGCCGACTTCTGGCTCCAGACTCCCCCACACAATTGCTCCCCGCTCCCATCCCACCCCTCCAGCCCTGCCCTCCTTGCAGCTTTGGGCACTGCTGACCCACATTCATCCCAGGATTTTTAGGAGTCCTGGTGTGGCGCTGTGGGCTAATTCGTCAGACTGCAAAGTCGCTTGAACTGCAAGGTTGGTGGTTCAAGCTCACCAGCCGCTCCTTGGAAACCCTATATAGGGTTGCTATGGGTCGGAATCGACTCAACGGCACTTCACAACACTTCACAACAACAAGGCTGTGGCACTGTAATATAAGTGCTCAACCACAAAGTTGGTTTGAACCGCAAGGTCGGCAGTTCAAATCCACCAGTTGCTCCTTGGAAATAGTAGACACAGGCACTATCAGCTAGAGTCGACTCGATGGCACTTCACAACAACAGAGATGAGGCGTTCTGCTCCTGTAAACATTTGTTGTTGTTGTGAAGGGCCATCAAGCCAACTCCAGCTCAGAGTGACCCTGTATAGGGCTTCCGAGGAGCACTGATGAATTTGAACCCCCAACCCTGTGGTTCAAACGAACCTTGTGGTCGAGAGTATATCCTACAGTGCCACACCAGAATTTACATTCTTGGAAACCCTATGCAGGGTGACTGTGAGTCGGAACCAACTCACTAGCACACACCCGCCACCACCACCATGGGTCCACAGGTTGTGGTACCTGTAGTTTTTCCTTTGAACTTAAAGCCAAACAAACAAAATGCAAGCCAGAAGCTACACTGGGAACACAAGTGGAGTCTCAGTGCGCCTTGTCAGATTGCCCTTCACTGCCACTTGAATGTGTCCTGGTACCACATGTGGCCCAACTGAGGGGACTGACCCCTGACAAAATCATCCAGGGCTGCCCTGCTATCAGACTACCCTCTCTACGTTTCTTGGGTCCAGTCCTTGTGCCCATGCCTCTGCCCACCTACCTGAGAGTACCTGTGGCTAGTCAGCTCAAGTGAGTCTGGGACTGCTTTGTTGTGACAAAGCCCCTTCTGCAGTGGGCTTCATGACCATTGTCTGACTTCCTCAGGAGGACCAGGGTCTTGTGGAGCCCTTCCTGGATGGGCTTGTTTCCTGCTTCTGTTCAATTCTGAGTATGACCTTTGTCCAACTGTGTGGCCTCCACTGCCCCATCTGGATGGGAAAATATTAGCAGTGTCCCCTAGGAGTTGCTCTTTGGAGACAGGCCTGGTCCCAGTACGCAGCAGTAGTGACAACGGTCCCTGCTCGGTCCAAGCCCAGGATCACTCTTCAGCCACATTTCCAGGGTTTCCTGCCCAGAGGTGGTCCCGTCACCCCAGTTTCCCAGCACTGTCAGAGGCAATTCTGACTAATGAGGCCACCTGGTGGGGGTGGTAAGCAGCAGCTTCCAGGCCCTTCCAAGGGTGAGTGCATGTCTCTGGTGCCTGTGCCTTCCTGAATCTGGACACACATGCCTTTGATCGGGGCTCCCTTCTGGTACATTGTGTGATGCCATTTCTGAGCCTCATTTGTCTCCTGTAGACACAAGATGATAAACACATTTGCCTTCACTGTCTGGACTAGAGGTTCCACTGGGACAAAGGATGTGAGCATGGTGCTCAAGGGGTGGCCCAGGGTTATCCCTAGCGAGTCATCCCTAGGTGTCACTGGCCAGCAGCAGTTCTTCATAATTAATATTTAATACCAAAGGAAGAGGGAGATGAAAGCAGTCAGCAACTGCACTGATTTGTTTTCAGTGGACTCCCGGAGTCAGTGAAGGGAGTCCTGAGGCCTGTGTATCTTTGGATGGTCCCTTGAGACTCAGAGGAGGAATGAGGTGACAGGCACGGATGTCCAAGGTTCTGGGGATTTCCTCCAGCTCATGCAGTACACTGGAGAGGTGGTTCAGGAAGGTCTGGACTTGGCCTCCTCCCCTCTGTAATGAAGGGCAGAAGGTGACCTTTAAGTCCCTCATCCTAATGACCATCACCACCGCCTCCATCCACTGATACAAAGGCACAGGCCTCTCCAGTCTCTTGCTTGCTCTTCAGGATCCAACCCCTTCTGCCATCTTGGCTTCAAGGTCTCCCGTTGCCAGGTTGGCTCACTCCCCACCTACTGGCCTGTCCTGCCCGCCCCTGCCTTCCTCCTGTGGCCAGACCCCAGAGCAATCTCACCCTAGGGCTTCCTGGGGGTGCCACTGCCCCTTGGCCTCCTGTGCAATGGTTTTCTGGGGTGAGATCCTCACGGGGGCATCAGCCTGTGAGGAATTTGACGAGCAAGCTTCAGTGCCAGCAGATGTGAATTATATGCCATTTGCAGCCACACATCAGTCTTCCTGCAGCAGGGATGCTTGTCCCTGGGTAGAGACAGGAACTCGTCTGCCATCATCAGCTCCTGACAATGCAGGTGCTACCACCTGCATGCACCACACCCTCCCACATTGAGGTGGAGCTACCTGAAGGAACTCCTCCTGGTTTTTGTCTGCAAACCAGCTTTCTCTCCTCAGTCCTAGGCATCTTTCCTGTGAAAACATGTATCCCTGCCAGGCCTTGGTCTCCTGGCCTGTAGGGGGAACCCACTTGGGTCTAGATGTGTGATGAGAGGAGGGTGGTGTGAGAGGCCAGGGCTGGGGGTGCTGACAGTCACAAGGGAGGTGGTGTTGGCAGTGTTGGAGTAGGGGGGCTCAGCCCCTTCCTTCCTGGCCTGCTCCAGCCCAGACTACTCTTGTTCCCCCTCCCCACCTCCACCTTTGGGGTGACAAAGATGTGCTGGAAAGGACCAGGCCCCTGGGGGTGCGTCTGCCCAGTCCCACTGGTCCTGTTGAGCAGGAAGTTGGATTCAGGCTCACTGTGGAGACAAAGACCAGACAGTTTGTGCTTTGGAAGCTGGCTCACCATGAATGGGGGGGCTCATCTGCCTTCCCCTGCCCTGGCAGGACTCAGGGACATGGGAGGCAGGCTGGTCTCCTCCCTTGGCAATGATGACACTGCCCATTGGTATGTGACCAGAGAGGAAGGCAGTGGTGCTGAACGGATAGCTCCTCTCTGGGCTTAGGGTGAGCCCAGCAAGTGCCTGGAGGAGAGTGTGTGTCGGACTAGGGCCAGCTCCATCTCCTACAAGGTGGTGGTCAGGGTGACATGGACAGAGACAGGAGGGTCTGAGGCTTTAGTTCCCAGAAGTGCTGTCTGCAGAGGCTGTGACAAAGAGCTTCATCTCTGCACAGCACTAGTCCTAGGTGTCAGAGATCACTCTTGTCTGTCTGTGCTGGCCAGTGTCTGCGAGTCAGAGGGAGAGAAGTTGTTGGCGAAGCAGAGACAAGTAAGAGACTCAGAGAGATACACAGTAAGAGTTAAACACAAAGAAAGAGGAACACAGAGAGCCAGAGACAGTGTTACAGAGACTGAGGGGTGAACAGACACAGAAGCAGATGGAGACAAAGGAAAGTCCAAGGATGAGACCACCAATGCCAGGAGAGAGAAAGTAGAGAGGGACAGACGGACTCAGACATGGAGAGACAGAGACACAGACACAGACACACAGAGAAACAGCATTGGTAACACAGGAGGCAGATCATTTGCCCAGAGATGGTCAAGGCCTGAGGGGCAAGCGAGGGAGAGGAGGGTAAGAGAGAGATAAAGAGCAGTCAGAGACTTGAATGCAGACACAAGACCACCATAAAGGTCTCAGAGAGTGACCCCCAGTGGCAAAGCTGGAGAGAGGGGAGGCAGGCCCTGGGGGTGAGGTGCTGGACCACCCTCACACTGGCTTCACACCTGCCCACAGCCTACAAGGAAAAGATGAAGGAACTGTCTGTCTTGTCGCTCATCTGTTCCTGCTTCTACTCGCAGCCGCACCCCAACACCATCTATCAGTATGGGGGTGAGTGCTTGTTCCCCACCTCCCATACCTCCTGAAGCCCCAGGCCTGGTTGCCTGCTGATCAGGGATGTGTCTGGGGGGGAGGAGGTAGGTCTTGGGGAGCCCCTTGGGATCCAGACCTGTGTGTGGGAGTAGCTGTCTGGTGTTGCCTGCAGACATGGAGGTGAAGCAGCTGGACAAGCGGGCTTCTGGCCAGAGTTTCGAGGTCATCCTCAAGTCCCCCTCTGACCTGTCCCCTGAGAGCCCTGTGCTCTCCTCCCCTCCCAAGAAGAAGGACGTTTCCCTGGAGGAGCTGCAGAAGCGAATGGAGGCAGCTGAGGAGCGGAGGAAGGTGGGGGCTGCTCCCCATGGGAGTGTGAGGAGGGGATGGGGAAATGTGGACAAGGGTCCCAAGGTACAGGTTCCCGTGCTGTGAGGGATTCCTGAATCCTTGGCCCTCCCCTCTAAGCACCACACGGTGGCAGCTAGTGGAGGAAGATCACAGGAAGACCTATCAAGACCCAGGGACCCAGGGACTCATAGGGTTAACCAGCAGGGTCGGGATGGTGGGTGGAAGATGAGGCTAATTACCCCTGGGAGCCTGTCTCTCTGCTCTTCTCCTGAGGTTACCAGAGCCGGACAGGGCGGCGCCTGCAGCCCAACCTCGCTAGCTCAGCGCCCTTCTCCTGCTCCTGAGGGACCACGCTCGGGGTGCACTGGCCTAATTGGAGGCTCAGACTTGGCCTAGGGAGCACCTGCTTCGTGCTCAGCAGACATAAGGAAGAAGACTGAGGCCCAGCGAGGGCTTGCAGGCTTTAGAAGCAGGAGACACAGGCTGCCCATGTCAGCAGTGCCAGTCTAGTAGAGGGACAGCGACTCAGGGCCAAGGGCAGGTGACAAGCCTAAGCACAGAACAGGTTTGCCAGGACCGAGGGGTGTTAAAGTCTGGAAAGTCCCTGGTGGAGTTGGAGGAGATGGTCACCCTGATGACCGCAGGACAGCCTCCGGTGGGCAGTAAGCAGAGGCCAGAGCAGGCAGAGATGATCTGTGAAGAGCGATGTGCGGCCAGGAGCAGGGGATAAGAGCAGGGAGCCTGGGGGGATAGGGGGGCGCGAGGCACCAGCGGATGTGCGCTGGGGCTTGGCCGCGGGCAGGAGCGGGGGTGGGGGGGGGGGGGGGTACCCGGTGGGTGCGGCCTCCGCTCATGCAGCCGCCGGCCCGCGCGCAGACGCAAGAGGCGCAGGTGCTGAAGCAGCTGGCGGAGCGACGCGAGCACGAGCGTGAAGTACTGCACAAGGCGCTGGAGGAGAACAACAACTTCAGCCGCCTGGCGGAGGAGAAGCTAAACTACAAGATGGAGCTCAGCAAGGAGATACGTGAGGCTCACCTGGCGGCGCTGCGCGAACGGCTGCGCGAGAAGGTGCGCAGGGCGCGGCCGGGGTACAGGGGTGGAGCTGGGAGCGGAAGTGGGCCCTGGATGGCTTGGGCAGAGTTCCGGGTGGGGCAAACTAGGAGGTGAGGGAGAACTAGGAGGCGAAGCTCATAGTGGGTGGGGCTCGGGTGGAACTTATGGGCGTAGTCTGGTCACAGGGGTGGAGCTCAGGTCGCGGCTGGGGCACAGGGGTGGAGCCTAAGGAGGGGGCAGGGCATGGGCAGAGCTCGGGGTGGAGCTTGAAGTGTGGGCGGAGCTTAGAGTGGGTTGGTGAGGGGAAAAGCTAGGGAGTTGTGTGGGCTGGGCCAGGAGAGGCCTTTGCTTTGTGTCTCTAGGCTGTGCTTGCAGTGTGCAACCCAGGCACGTTGGGCAGTCGGTAGCCATACCACTAAGGAATAGTCTAGTTAACTGAAGCGCTCAGAGGAAGCACATTCATAGCACAAAGCAAGAGTGGCAGGAGCTGCTTTAGGCTGGGGGCCAAGAAGCCCCCAAGAGTCCCCTCCTTTGACCCTCTGCACACCGATCGCGACTCACTGTTCCGCTCCTGGGACAGCCCAGAGTGAGGCAAGCCTATTTCAGCCTCAGGTAGGAGGACGGAAAGGAACAGGATCCTAAACCAGCCTCCTAGGTCAGATCTTAGCTTTAGCTCCCCTTTGGGGCGACTACGCCCCTCAGGCCTCAGGCACAGAGGCAGGTCTAGGTTGCTCCTGGAAGGCCTAGAGCTTGCACCCCTGAGGAAGTGTCTGTGGAGGGTGAGGTGTCGTCCACCCTCTCCCTAAGCCTGCAGCAGACTGGCCCTTTAGGGCCCTGATTTGCGTCTCCTGCCTGCCGCTCCTCAGACTTGCTCGTTAGGTGTCCTCCATAGCTGGGACCTGAGCGGCCTGGGTTTACGAGGGTCCAGGACTCCGGAGCCCACAGGGCAGGGCTGCCCACCACCCATCTTCCTTTTCTACAGGAACTGCACGCCGCCGAGGTGCGCAGGAACAAGGAGCAACGGGAGGAGATGTCCGGCTAGAGGCCTCTTTACACTTGGCGCCTGGGTCCTGAGCCAAGATAAGAACAGTCTGGTCCTGGTTTTGTTTTGTTCCACTTTGTCTAGATGCTACTTCTGCCCCAGCTCCCCCACGCGCTCCCAGCTCCACGCTTCTCCCCCTGCAGTCTTAGCTGTCCAGTCCTTGTTCACTGACCACAGGCTCTCCCTGGAGGAGCCCCAGGGCAGAGGACTCGTCCCTCAGTTTGGGCGCCAGGCCAGGTGGCCTCTTGGTGGATGTGGATTTGATCTTAATAAATCCAACCAGCGGTGGCATGGACACGTGGATACTTATACTGGGTTATCCTGGTCAGCGCCTTGGTCACAGGAGGGTGTCCTCTGAGTAAGACAACAGGGTGGGCAAAGGAGGACCTGGGGTAGCAGTGAGCCTGGTCCCTGCAGCAAAGTCTTTTGGAAATGAGGGGAGGAGTGGTCCATCTAAGGCAGGGAAGCTGGGCGAGAGACCTGGGGGCCAAACCAAGGAGCAGGGGCTAGAGTGGTGTGTGTCCCAGCCTTGTGCAGGACCATGGGCATTCACCCAGGTCCCTTGACTCAGAAGTGGGCCTCCCTCCAACGAGCACCTGGTCTGAGGATTCCCAAGGCCCTTCCTGTGCTTTTCTGCTCCCACCCCCACAGTTGTGGGTGTGAGTACAGCTGCAAGTTCTCCTCAGGGTGCCAAGTGGATGAGCAGGGGCTCCCCAGGACTAGTCTGTCCTACATTTCCTAGCTGCCTGGCCCTTTGGAGGGGGTCTGAAAGTTGGAGACTTGCCTCCAGTCCTCTACTGTCAAAAGCCTTGGGATTGCCCTTCCCCTCCCTTGGTTCCCCAGTGCTGGTCTTTGAGGATTGCTCCCTGCCTGCACATGAGCTGTGGGTGAAGTGTCTCGTCTTGTGCATTACAACAGGCAGGCCTGTTCCACAGTTGGCTGGGTGCTGTGGGGTAGAAAGCATGGGAGGTCCAGCTATAAGTTCTTATATGACCCAGAGCCAGCTGACGGCCTCATTTAAAGAGCCCCATGAGGGGGCGCTGGTCTTCTAGGCCAGGGATCCTGATTCCCAGCAGAGGGAAGTAGGGACCACAGCCTGCCTGCAGCCCCCAGAGGGAACTACAACTAGGAGCAGAGCCCAGTGGTGCCTTTTATGTGGTTTTTGTGGGATGTGGGGAGGGAAGTGAGGGCAGAATGTCTTCAGGCGGGGCTGCCCCATGTGCCCATCTCATCACCAAAGTGAAGGGAACTTAAAAATGCTACCAAGTCAATGATGAAAGGAGAAAGAACTATGTTTTAAGTGGATGAAACGCAGGGTCTGTCTTGCCTTCATGGCCTGGGAGGGGCCTCATGGTCACTGCTGTCTTCTGTGGTGTGTGGGTCACTCCAAACCAGAGCCTGTGACACATCTGGTTTTTGTTACTATTACAGACTGTTTTAGTGACAATGGTGGTTTTAAGAAATGAGAATGAGAACACAATGACCTCACTGTCCTCTCAGGAGCCCGAGGGGTTGGTGGCAGGGTTTGGCCCAAAGGGGTTGGGGCTTTCCCTTTGCACCACAGTCCCTGAGCTGTGAGGTCTTCCTGCTATGTGCTTGGGGCCTTATGGGCTTCTCCCACCTACCAATCCTGGGATGACTGCGCAGATGATCACACTCTTCCTTAAAGAAAAACACTGGTCAGACTCCTGCTGGGAGGCCATCTGGACTGTAGGCAAGAGGAGCTCGTGGATTCTCATGGGCTGCTTATGTGTTCCCCAACATGGCAACCAACACCCATCTCCACAGCCAGCAATCTGACAGCAAGAAGGAAGCCGCTGTGAATTCATCTTGTTACACAGTGTCACTTCCATTACGTCTACTTGTTAGGAGTGGGCTTACACACACGTGAGGAGAGTCAGGCTCTGCATTCTGAGGGAAGAGGGGGAAACTGTGGACATTTTTGTTTTTAATTGGGTGAAGGTTTGAAGATCATCAGCTCAATATAATCACTGAGATAAAACAAGGTGTATGGTTTGATCATTCAGCAAAGCACACACCTTGTTTTCTATCAGTGATTACAATCCTCTCCCTGTAACAACACTTTGCCCACTTCCTCCCCGTGGCTCTCCATTTACACCTTGTATTTCACAAATGAACCAGGAAAAAATATTTCACGTATACTTAGAAAACAAAAAATAGATATTCACTTGAACGTCCAGAGGCACATTGTGTTGATTGGCCTCCTGCCGGCAGGCACACAGCCACCTTCCTTGCTGGTATGGCTTTTCTAGGCAAGCTCCCAAGCTCCACTCAGGCTAGTCCTTCTTGATGGTCCCTGGGATCACCTGTTCCTGAAATGAAAGATTACTTCCGCCCTCCTTTCAGTTACACATCTTCTACAATTACAGCTGTGACAATCACGATCAGTCCTGCTAACCATTATTCACAATTGAGTCATAAAATCCTACCAGCGTCGCCCCTTTCAGTGAGGATTCTACATTCCTCTCCCATTCTGCAACTAAATACACTCTTGAAAGCTGGTAGACCAGCCACTTCGTGCTTTTGTAGCGCCCCGCTCCCATTTTGATAGCCAGTGTCTAAATTTCTTATCCCTTTCAACCTAGTACCTTGTTCCTTGATAAGAAGAATCCTTTCATTCTGGTTAGAATTTTGACTTTCAAAATTCCAAAGTCTAGTTCATCAAATTGTAGCAATTTGCACTTGTTCTCAGTATCAAACATCTTAAGTCTCCTTTGGTTTGAGTTCTGGCCAACTAACTAGTCACCCACCAAGCAAGGTCAAATGGGTAATAACTGCAAGTTTGGGAGTTCACGCACCCCTCCCTGCACGTCAGGCCAGTTAGCTGCTTTACTCTCAGCCCTATCCCCCAGGGGTTAGGTCAGATGTGAACATCTTTTAAAAGCACCTCAGAAACTGGGTGCCGAGAGTTAGCCTGTGTGTTCTGGACATGGCTGGTACTCACTCAATGGCTGGGGACTACGGGGTGGGGGGCCAAGGTGTCCAGCTGAGCTGACGGGGACTGAAGCATGGGCAGCTGATGTCCCTCACGGGCCTTCCTTCATTCCTTTCACGCACGCATCTCTGTGGCTGTGGCTGAGAAGTGGTCGTGGGGTCACGACACATGGATGTTTCTCTTTTTGCTGCTGAGCAGCTGTAGGTATGGAATGTGCATGTTCACACAGTCAGCCATTCGGGCACTGACCACGAGTTTAACTGACGGCTTAATACACGTGTTATCACATTTCAGAAGCCAGGGATGGATTCAATGACCAGCCCTGTTCTGTAAGAGCCTGGATGTCAGTCAACGAAACTTGTGATACCTACGATTTGTTTCAAGCACTTCAAAGTATAACAGCATGGGCATTGTTTTACAGTAACTTTTCTGGTTACAAACGCAGTGCACGTTCACTGCAAAGGATAACAAAAAGCAACCTGGAGACACACATCGCAGTTGGCCCCACAGAATGTGACTATTTGCTTTTCTGGTCTTCATATACAGCGTCTCAACAGTCCTTTACACTGTTCACCAACTTAGAGACCTTAGTTGAAGGCCACCAGCGTTTACACTAATGTCCCTGTCCCATTCCAGGATCCCACACTGCACGTAACTGTCACTTGGTGTGGTACCGTCAAGTCAGTTCCAATGCAGAAAGACCCTATGCACAACAGCAGGAAACCCAACCGTCCTGTGCCATCCAGGACCATGATGGGTACTGGTCACTTCTTTTGTTACGGGCCCCTCACCTTCCCAGTGCATCGTATCCCAGGCTTCTGATGTCAGTACACTTTATTACTGGTGTGATAAAGCTGATCACTGCCCAACCACTAGATTTCCTTTAGTAGTTAATCAACAACGGTAGGTAGAATAGGAAACACAGTGGCTCTGTAGGTGAAGCACAGGATTGTGAACCACAAAGTCGGCAGTTTGAGCCCACCATCCACTCCGAGGGAGGAAGATGAGGCTTTTTGCTCCCACAAAAATGTATAGCTTTGAAAACACTATGCAGGGTCGAGTCAGAACCAGCGTGATGGCACTTAACAAGGTGGAAAATGGTCCCCAAGTTCTAATCTCTGTAGGCTACCTGGCAAAAACTCAGGTTACCAGCAGCCTACAAAGATGTAAAAGTAAAGCATTCAGGAGCTAGCCCAAAAGGTCAGGCGTTGGAACCCACTGTGGCGCTGTGGGTTCAAACACTAGACTGCATGGTTGGTTGGAATTGCCAGGTCGGTGGTTCAAGCTCACCAACAGCTTCTTGGAAACCCTATACAGGGTTGCTATGGGTCAGAACTGACTCGACAGCACTCAACAACAAAAGTGGCTCTGAGGGAGGAAGACGTGACGATGTGCGCGGTCTACAAATGTTACAAGACAGTTAGTTCCATTGTCACATGGCTTGTTATGAGGCCAAACGGACCCGAAGGCATCTGACAACAATCTGTTTGCTAATGAGCGTAGCCTAAGTTCTTCAGGTGGGCCCAATGTAATTATAATGTTACGTGTTTTTGAGTCTGTTCTGACTCCTAGCGACCCTGTATATAGGATTTCCAAGGAGTGGCTGGTGGGCTTGAACTGCCAACCTTGCAGTTAGCAGTCTGGTGCTTATTACTGAGATGCTTCCAACCTTGCAGGGCTTGTGGGAGAACATACACAGCCGTGTGGGGAAAGCTTGGTCCTGGGCCCACGGAGTGACGGTCCAGCCAGGCAGGCTCGTTGCTGTCCTTTCCCAGCTGGAGCCCGAGGCTTGGCCCACGCCAGCTAGCTTCTTGGGTTCTCTGCTCCCGGGAAGCTGAAGGCCTGAGTGGGAATAAGAAACTGCACCACACCAGTGGCTCCTGGAAGTAGGAAAAGCTGAAGAGGAAGATTCTCCCTAGAACCTACAGAAGTGAGCCCGGACCTGCCAATACCTCGACGTTAGCCCAGTGAGACCCGACTGGGACTTCTAATGTACAGAACTGTAAGGTACTAACTTTGTGTTACTTAAGCCACTGCGTTTGAG